CTTGGTAGGATACCATTAGGGATAATAGGAATTAAAACAGGGATGGATGAGCACCTAAAGACTTCATTTGGGAAAAAAACAGTCTGGTTTACTTTATTTATTTATTTATTTATTTATTTATTTATTTATTTATTTATTTTTTTATCCTCACCCGAGGACATTTTTCGATTTTTTGTTCAGATAGAGTGGGAGGGAGAGAGAGGAAGGGAGAGAGAGAGAGAAACATCGATGTGAAAGGGACACATCAAGTGGCTGCCACCCGCACGACCAACCAGGGCCGGGGACAAACAGCAACCGAGGTACGTGCCCTTAGCGGGAACCGAACCCGGTCTCTCTGGACCACAGGCCGACGCTCCAACCGCTGAGCCAAACTGGCCAGGGCCAGTCTGGTTTACTTTAATAGAACCTCTGATGTTAGGAGAGGGTCCAGGGACAATTTGGAAAATAGCATTAAGCTCGAAATGGATTTTGAAAGATCCATCTCTCATCTCCTTCCTGAGGCCCCTCTTGTGGAGGACACAGCAGTTTCTAATTTGCAAGTTACTTTTCCGCCTGTTGTCTCTGGTGTGACCATCTGAGTGGCCTCAGCCATGCAAACTGTCCTGGTGATGGCAGTTTTGTGAGGAGTCCCTCATCCTTCAAAGTTTCCGTCTTCATAAAGAAGGGGGAAGAGAGTTAACTAGCTGACGAGGGAGGTCATTTTGTGTGAATCCTGATAAAAGAGAAACAGTAAGTCTGCAGGACCTTGAACCTGTACACAGGTTCTCCTGGTCGGTGTATAGAATGTACAAATGTAGAGACTTCACTGTCTGGCCAAGACTCAGGCTTCCATGACTCATGCATGTAACACAGGTTAAATGGTCTAAGCCTCACTCCCTTGCTTTCTCTTCCTGAAGTGGAGGGCTGCGAAGAGAAAAGGGAGACAGACAGACTGACCTGGGGGGGGGGGGGGGGGGAGTGGCTCCCTGACAGCACACAGAGCAGGCCAGCTTAATTAGTCATCGTGCACAAAATCCAAACTTTTTAGATTTTTGAAGGAAACTGGAAATATTCAGCAGTTACTCCCTCTCTTTGTACCACAACCGCTGCCCCCCCCCCAATACATCGTAGTGCTAATTTTTAAGACAGGAATACATTTAAAAAGAAGAGAGTAGTTGACAATGAAATGTAAATGAGATATGCACATTTGAGGGAAATGCTGTATTGTTTAAAAAAATCCATAACATGTGAGGTTAGGATGAAGTATTTATAATTAAAGTATGTTTTATTGATTTTTTTAGAGAGAGGAGAAGGGAGAGGAAGAGATAGAAACATCCAAGTGAGAGAGAAACGTGGATCAGCTGCCTCCCGCACGCCCCCTACTGGGGATCAAGCCCACAACCCGGGCATGTGCCCTGACCGGGAATAGAACAGGACTTCTCAGTCCATGGGATGAGGCTCACGGAGCCACACCGGCCAGGCAAGGGGTATTTATATTTATTACTAGATGTAGACATTTATTTTCCTAGTACTCTATTTCCTTAAAAGGAGGTAAAATCAGCTACGTGACAACTGCTTCTATTTACAAATGACAGTTACTCATATTTTGATTTCTAACTTTGCCTTGTCCCTAAATTACATTTTTTCAGTGTTTCTTCTTGTTCTGCTCCTTTGACCTATTCTGAAAAACTTGGAGCATTTCTTTCTTTCCTTTTTTTTCTTTTCTCACTCTAATAAGCCTTTACAAGTTTTTTTTCCTAAACTCAAAGTACAGATATTGTATTTTAAAAATGTATGTGTCAAGGACATTTCCATTTGCAATGAGATAACATCCGTAGTTCAAGACAGTTTAACTTCCATTTCTTCATCAAGCTGTTTACGGTAGAAATTACCTCTATTTATCATATATAGAAGACTTGTAAATTTATAGATTGTGCATTTTATAACCTAGACTCAGGCACCCATGACACATTGTTACAAACACAGTTCTTGCTAATGTCTTTTTTTGTTGCTTTGGTTATTAGGGCTTATTTTTTTGATCCAATATCCCTTTAAAATTTAAGGTGGTTCTCAACCTTCCTAATGCCGTGACCCTTTAATACAGTTCCTCATGTTGTGGTGACCTGCAACCATAAAATTATTTTTGTTGCTACTTCATAACTGTAATTTTGCTACTGTTATGAGTTGCCATCGGAAATATGTGTTTTCCGGTGGTCTTAAACGACCCCTGTGAAAGGGTTGTTCGACCCCCAAAGGGGTTGCGACCCCCAGGTTGAGAACCACTGCTCTAGAACTAATAGAACACTCATCTAAGGCACCATGTGTCTGGGTCCAAATACATGTCATCCTGGAGGTACACAGAGTTAAAGCAGTTTTCAAAAGCTGTTCTAGATCTGTAGTCTGTGTTCTGTGGCAATCTGATGCTCATGAGCTCATGTTGAATATTTTGTTATTTACTGTGCACATTAAGAATTAATGAGCCTAGCTGGTGTGGCTCAGTGGATTGAGCGTTGTCCCATGGACTGAGAGGTCCAGGTTCAATTCCTGGTCGGGGCACATGCCTGGGTTGCAGACTAGATCCCCAATAGGAAGCATGAGGGAGGCAGCTGATCAATGTTTCTCTTTCCCTTTACCTTCCTCTCTCTTTAAAAAATCAATAACAACATATTTTAGAAAAAGAGTTAATAAAAGCAAGTTTGGCTAAATATCTGTTTGACAGCAAACAAATATAGCAGAATGAATCCTCAGTACTCTGTCTGTTTGGGTGTTTTAATCCTGAAGTGATTCAGAATTAAATTTGGCAGGTAAATAGAGTCATACACTGAGGACTGGAACATGGGATGGGGCAAATGGGAACAGTATAATTCTCAGCACCGTGAAACAATTTGAGATGTTTTACATACAATTTAAATAAAATAGCTTTCCTTTCCAACACATTTTTGTTTGTTTGTTTGCATTATAACCACAGGCTGATTTTCAACATGCATTATTTCAAACCAGCTCCTCTTTAAAGAGATTTTATTTTTCCAATATGAAGTGTTCAGTAGCCCACTGAGCTAACTCTTAGGAAATGCTCCCTGAAATGTGTCAGGCAGTGTGCTCAGCTCATCTGTGTTTTATTTCATTTAATTTTTACAGGAACCTTATGAGGTAGGGATTCTTATTACTGTCATTTGCAGATAAGGAATCTGAGGACGTTAAGGAACTTGCTGAAGGTCAAGCAGATAGTGATGGATGAGGACGGGTTTTGAACCCAGGCAGTTCAGCCTCAGAGGCACCATATTGAATCTCATTTGCACCATCATCCACTGCATTTCGTGGGTTAAGACCAGAGCTGGATGATCTCTTTAGGAGTGATACAGAAAATAAAACCGCACGATTTTATGGAAATATTTCCCCCGTCTAGCACTCTAGTCCCTCAATCTGAAAGAGTGAAGCCTTAAGAATGAAAGAAAGGAATCATGTATGACTTTCCCTAACACAGAATCATCATCAGGGAGACAATTTTGATACTTATGAAAACTCCTTTAAATATTCCAAGTTACAACAATAACTGATGGTTTTCTGGAAATGAGGTTTGGTAGATGCTCAGAGCTTGTTCAACACCAAGTTTACCACTGTACCAGTACACATTTCACCTTCTATTTTGGCCACAATAGAACATCATGCCACTGTATCATAAAATCACCTTAATGCCTGTTGGGAAACTGTGGAGATATACAAGCATCTGGTCCTTTCTCTAGGGTTCTGAAATAAGTCAGGGAGTCAGGAAACCACTGCTAACCCAGAAGATCCACTGGATCTTAGAAGACTCTGAAATTTACGGTTCTATGGAAAGTTCCATCAGTCTAACATCCCCCTGAGAAATCTCATCTGCATATATTTGGACTCTGGGTCTTGCTGCTTTTTTTATTTGAAGGCACTTTGGGAATCTGCATCTGGAGCTGGTTTTCAGAAGTGCCCGAATCGTGAGCATTTAGCACTAGACAGGACCTTGGGAATCCACTTGTGTAACTCTTCATCATTTTGCCAACGTGCAAGCCAAAAAACAGAGATTACAACTTTAATGTCACGGAGCCTGTCCGTGATAAAATCGCAATGGAAAGCAGATTCTCTGGCTCGGAGTTCAGAGTTTTTAATTAACTGACTTGGCCTTCATACCCATCATAGCCCCTGGCCTTTAGATCTGTCAGCATGAGTCTGTGACACTTCTTTTCTGCCTCTGTCAGGACTCTGGCTGAGGTTGCCACCCTGACTCACAGTTTTCTGACTCTGTAAGTGAACCTTCAACACCCTATGAAATAGCATATAACTAAAACAGAACACTGAGTAGTATATTCAATACTACCAGACATGGATGCTCTTGCACCTTCTGTAACACTGGAGGATACTGTTTATTGTTAAATAAATATAGAACCATAACCTTACTTTTACCCAGATCTTGAAGAAGCATGAATGAAGGAAAACATGATATAAAATAGTTTTTCATTCTTTACTGTCATAAATGTAGAGTCTGAGGAAATATATATATATATATATATATATATATATATATATCTTATTTATTTATTTATTTATTTATTCATTCATTCGTTTGTTTGTTACAGATGTTTCTCCTTTTCCTCCCTAATTGACATCCTCCTTCCCCCTTCTGTCCCCCTCTATCATCAAGGTCATCTTTTAAAACATGATATTATAACTGTGATTCTCTGCTTCAATAACTTTGTTATTAGTCTTAGAATAGGTTCAAAACTTTAAAAATATATATTGCTCCATGATATAGCCCTTACCTCCAAATCATAATTATTGCTACTGATCCAAATTCCCCACATCTGGAATTTTTATTCCCATTAATCTCAATTTTGCATGTGAAAATGTTTGCATTAAACCAATGCTGTTCTCCAGTAAGTCCTACTTTTAAAAGGGAAGAAAAAGACAGACAGAAGTTTGCACGACCCTAACGTTCACTCTCTCGTTATTGCCCGGCTCAGGCATAGTATCTGCCAGATAACAGGACGTACCAGGAGCAGCTGCAGCAACAGCACCAACAGAAGCAACATGTGTTGTTGGGCCTCTGGTTTCCAGGTGCTTGAGACGCGGCAGGTGTTCCTTCATTTGGTGATTGCTGCCTTTTCCGCATCTCAGCTACGTCAGTACCGGATTGGCTGGAAGAAGACAGAAAACATAAGGTATGAAAAAAAAAAAATCACAGTAAATATAAGTTGCCTGTGCTGAAACTTGTTAAAGGGTGGTGGCAGGAAGATACTTTAGAAAAGCTAAAACAAACAGGCCCTGGCCATCAAATTAAAAATTCTCCAGAAATGTTTTTAGGAGAATCTCCTAAAAGCTTTTGGGGACAAAGTTCTATCATTATCTGCTGCATAAAATTCTAGTAACAATATTGCCACATGATCAAAATCAGTTGGTAAGGTAAATATAAGGTCTGAAAATTTATTTTTAACTTCCTTCTTTGTTCAATGATTACATCTGTTTTCCTTTATGAACACCTTTGAATATTATAGGGGGCGTGTATTTCTGGTTTCTCCGCTGATGTTTACAGTGAGGTTAATTGAGCTTCATAAATCATTGTTGCAATGTTTTGACTTATATAACATCGTGAGGAAGATCAAGTTTGCTTCTGGTGCTCTCTCACCTTTTTTCAAAACACTCAATCTCCTTTTTTGGCACTTACGGTACACCCTCCAGGGGCCAATCCTGATAATATTGGCAAAACGCCTTATTCTCTGTTATATAACCTTGTTGCAAAGGCATTACCTCCTTCCCCTCCACCACCTAAATTTATTTTCATTTAGTAGAGGACTGTGGAAAGATATGCAATCCAGGATAATTACTTTGGTGGAATTTATACTACAGATCCCGGCAGATAAGAAACTATTGGGGTACAGCATACCCTACCTGTGACCTTACAAATCAGACCGAATGCGTTGCTTTCTATATATAAATCCAATCTGATCCAGAACTTTGTTGAGGATAAAAATAAGGTTTTGTTTTAGTAGACTAATATCAAATTTAGCATGACCTCTTTGAAAAAGGAATTAATTATATTGAGCAATGTTTTTAAAAAATATGCAATGTATGTATATCATAGACATATATGGTCATATTTATAATTGGGAGCAATACGTATTAAAAATATAAACTACTTCAGGTTATTTTGGCATTGTGAGCTCATGCTTTAAAAATTACATTTTTAGTTCTAAATAAAATGATAGATACTTTTTAAAAAACACTGTATTCTTCTTCTTTTTTTTAATCCTTACCCGAGCACATTTTTTCAGTTTTTCTTCAGATAGAGCCGGAGGGAGGGAGAGAGAGAGAGAGAGAGAAACATCGACGTGAAAGGGACACATCAAGTGGCTGCCACCCACACGACCCAACCAGGGCCGGGGACAAACTGCAACTGGGGACAAGGTGCATGCCCTTAGCGGGAACCGACCCCAGGTCTCTCTGGACCGCAGGCCAACGCTCTAACCGCTGAGCCAAACTGGCCAGGGCAAATCACTGTATTCTTGAAAACAAGATAAGCATCTCTTTAGACCAAAAAAACCACAATGGTCAGTAAATGGGGCCTAAAGACAGTCATTTTTCAATTCAGGTATGGGAACAGAAAGCTGCAACGGTCCCCTACTCCCATGGGGTATCAAATGCTCCACTGTGAGTGGTGAGAGAGCAGATTTCAGGGTGCTGCTTAAAGTCAGGGGCTGTGGTTCTGCTACTCATAAAAGGATGCTGAAAAAACAAACAAACAAAAAACCCAAAACACCCCACAAAACCCCATCCAGACCTGACTTAGGCTGAGCAGCCCGCCCGTTCAGTGACATGGGTCAGAGACATGTCCAGAACCACTGCTGTCCTGAGATGCTGATGCAAGTACTGTTGTGAGACTGAGGGTATCGAGGGGCTAAAGGACACAAGAGAGAAGTATTACATTATGAAGAGTGAGAGAGAGTGAGAAATATATTTCTCACTCAATGTATTGCCTAAAAGCAAAAGATCCAAATAACACTGAAACAGAGAGAGCCAACTCAACACCCAGGAGATGAATACACTCCTGATCAAATCCAAATGACAGAATAATCTAAAATCGGTGTGATAAGCATGCAGTGTGATAAAGGCAAGACCGTGAAATTTGTCTCATTCATATAAGAGAGCAATGAATTATAAAAGCAAATATAAAACAAGAATAGACAGAATGAAAAAGAAAAACGTAAACACAAACACACACAGCCATTAAAAAATGTCGACGGAATAATATCTTCCCAACGAGAATAAATAATGGTGCCAAACAACTGTGCCCAGAATTCAGCAAAAAAGACGGAAAGATGAAACATAAAGGAGACAAGCATGGATCCTGGCAGGTAAGAAAAGTAGCACTGAAAAGTAGCACTGGAAAACTCCAGCAGACGTCCAATGACATTTCTATCAGAAGGAGAGAATCGACAGGTTATCAGGGAAGTATTATTTTCAGGGAAGTTGGCTGAGAACTTTCCAGCAATGGAAGAAAACAAAACTAAACGAAGCCTCGGATCAGAAGAGCACATGACATGCTGCAGAGAATTAATAACATAAAAATAAAAGCAGATCCATATTTACAAGCATAATAGAGCCACAGAGCGCTAAGATAAAGAATAAGCTGAGGTATGACCCACAGAGGTGTAGCGTGTACTGACAGTAGCCTTCATGAGCGATATTAGATAACAGAGACAAAGGGCAAGAGAGTAATGTTTTCCACGTGCTGAGGGAGACAATCTATCACCTGCAACTTTATATTTGGCTAAACACAAATTCAAGAGAGAAGATGATTTATGACATACAAACTGAGTTTGTTACTCAAATCCTGCTGAAATCTACTTTGGTCAGAAGAAAACAGAATCAGAGGGAAGGAGAGGAACAGAAGAAGCAATTGTGCTGAAATGGATAAAATATGATGCTGGACTTAATCAATGACTAGCTGAAATAAAACCCCATGCTTCTCTGGTTAGAAACAGTCTAGAGATAAATTTGACTACATAAATTTGGAAAATAAGACAGCTGCCCTATCCCTCCACCGACAGTTTTTGTATACATCACAATGTTCCCATGTTGTTACCTCTGACTCATTTTATCATAATTTTCTGGGCTTATCAGCATTAGACACAATGATCATTCCATCCTCTTTGAAACACTTTCCTCTTTCGCCTTCCTGGGTACCCCAGTCGCCCAGTTGCTTTCAATCCTGCTGGTCATTCCTCAGTCTACTTTGTTATTTCCTGTTTATCTCCCTCACTTGCAAATGTTCGATGGCCACTGTACCCCATCCTGGGAATTCTACTCCCTCTCATTTATTTATTTCAATTATTTAATTAACTCATTGACATTTTTACTGGACCTACTAGATTCCTGTTAAAAATTCTCAACCTGCCCTGGCCAGTTTGGCTCAGAGGTTAGAGCGTTGGCCTGTGGTCCAGAGAGATCCGGGTTCGGTTCCCGCTAAGGGCATGCACCTCGGTTGCAGTTTGTCCCTGGTCTGGTTGGGTCATGCAGGTGGCAACCACTCGATGTGTCCCTTTCACGTCAATGTTCCCCTCTCTTTCTCTCTCCCCCTCCCACTCTATCTGAACAAAAAATGGAAAAATGTCCTCAGGTGAGGATAAAAAAAAATTCTCAACCTTACAATTTTTTTTTTTTTTATCCTCACCCGAGACATTTTTTGTTCAGATAGAGTGGGAGGGAGAGAGAGGAAGAGAGAGAGAGAGAAACATCGATGTGAAAGGGGCACATCAAGTGGCTGCCACCCACACGACCAACCAGGGCCGGGGACAAACTGCAACTGAGGTACGTGCCCTTAGCGGGAACCGAACCCAGGTCTCTCTGTACCGCAGGCCGACGCTCCAACTGCTGAGCCAGACCGGCCAGGGCTCAACCTTACACTTTAACAAAGAGGATATTTTTCTGAATTCAGGACTCATATGCTTAACTACCTACTTGACATCTCCATTTGGTTTTCTCAAACATAACATGTTCTAATCTGACTCTCTTATCCACCCTCCCCCCAAAAAAAACCTGTTCCTCCCACATTTTTCCCACTTTCAGTAAGCAAAAAACCTCATCTTTCTAATTATTCATACCAAAAGAACTTTGAAGTCATCTTCAACTTTTCAATTTCACGCAGATCAGCAGATCAGCAAATGTGAGGCCTCTTAACTAGTCTCCTCCACTTTCCTCCTACCTCTCCCTCATCGTCTCCTCCTCTTCCTAGTTCATTCTGTTAAAATAAAACTTTTAAAGCATAAGTAGATGATATCAGCAAAAAATCTTCCACCCAACTTCACTCTAAATCTTCCAGTGTCTTCCTATTTTACTCAGAGTAAAAGCCAATGTTTTTGTAATCTGGTCCTTAGTCACTTCTCTGAATACATATTATTTTTATGTATGTATGTATGTATTTTTTATCCTCACCCGAGGACATTTTTTGATATTTTGTTCAGACAGAGTGGGAGGGAGAGAGAGAGAGAGGAAAACATCGACATGAAAGGGACACATCCAGTGGTCGCCACCCACAGGGCCCAACCCGGGCTGGGGACAAACTGCAACCGAGGTGCGTGCCCTTAGCGGGAACCGAACCGGGTCTCGCTGGACCGCAGGCCAATGCGCTAACCGCTGAGCCAAACCGGCCAGGGCTGAATACATGTTCTTTTCTCTCCTCCTTACTCCCTGTTTAACCACGGGGCCTCTTCGCTGCTCCTCAACCACGCCTGGGACACCTTGCGCTGGGGCATTCGCAGTCGAGGTTCATGTCTTCACTCACATGTTACATTCTCAGTGACACCTTTCCTGCTGCCTCATTTAAAATCACAACGCCTTCACTCCACCCCAGCATGACCTGCCACCCTTTCTTATTTAATTTGCCTCCATATTACATATTATCATTCCTCATGCTCTAAGTTTCATGCATTTGTGTATCTAACCAACTAGAAATTAAGTTCCATGAAAGTAGAGATTTTTGCCTGTTTTTTCTTCAGAAACACACATACACACACACATACACACACAGCTTTATATCAGAGGTCTTAATCTATGTCACAAAAATTTGCAGAAAGATTCAATAACTGTCTTAAAAATTAACTACCTTAATTTCCTTAGTGTTAAGTATTCCATTTGGAAA